TCTTCTGTGCTGGTCCATCCTTTTGGCCAGTGGCTGTTTAGTTTCCCCGATGTAAGACTGATCACAGTCCTCCTGACACTGAATAGCATACACGTTTGTGTCAGGGGACTGGGCCTTTGGGAATGAACCAGTCTTTGCTGTAATGTATTTTGGGGTTTGAAAGCCAATGGGACGTGGCTTATTTTATGTTTAGAAAATGAATCTCAGTTTCTCTGATACTCCCTCAACATACGGAGTGACCACTGGTCTGGGTCTGGGTTCCTCCTTTGCACCTGATGGCTGGCTGGAGTCCTGTTTGGGTTTCTTCTCTGCTTTCAGGAAGGCCCAGTTAGGATATCCACATTGCTCCAGGGCCTGGGTTGTGTGGGATTTGACACACGTTTCTGACATACTGACACCACTTCCTGTTTCTGACATCACTTCCTGTTACTGAACATGCGAATGCCTCAACAACTGTTCATTTCTGCATAGTTAGACTTTTTTCCATTACAGTTGGTTTTTTTGTTAGGGGAAAACATGCAAACTCCACCCAGAAATGCCCTTGGCCAGGATTCTATCGGGCAACCTTCTTGTTGAGAGGCAGCAGTTGTACTAACTGATCCACCGGTGAATCACAAAGTTTTCATCTGTCGTTTAGAGCAATGGGTGGGTTTTAGGGCCATGCCACTAGAATAGTTCAGGCCCTACCAGACAGGTCAAACATTCTCTGTCAGCCTCTGTGATTTTACATCTTTTTCTGCCCTCCTTGTGTATGGAGTTCCTCAGTGTTCAATTTTGGGTCCTCTTATTTTCCCTGTATTTGCTCCCCCTTGACTCCATTTTCAGGAAGTGTAGTATTACTCTCCACTGCTATATGTGCTGATGACAGCCAGATTTATCAGCCTTTAAATAAAAACTGGAGCCTGTCTGCCAGACCCTTACCTGACTGATTTGCGAGATATAGGCTTGGATGTCCATTGGGCTCCCTTGCCCAGAGCAACAGGAACATGTCGGCAAGAACCAATGCAGTCATGTTCCTGTTTTTCATATTCTACACCGCCTCATAATCTAGCTGTTTTTCGCTACGTTTCTTTCTCCTTTTTATTATCATTTTATGTTCAATTGTTTAAAAAAAACAACTTAAATTTGAATTAATCATTTGTGAATGTCTATTGTTGTCGTTGTTATCCACTGTTGTCATCACTCTTTGTTAAAATCCAAGTCTCTCTTGTAAATGAGTCCTCGAGGCTCAATGGGATTTACCTGTCTAAATAAAGGTTGAAAAAATTAGGTGTTTTCTTTTTATTCCATCTTTTGTGTGTGTGTGTAGTATTACTGAATTAGTTGTACATTTGTTTAACTGTACTGCACTGTACAGAACTTTATTCCACTAAGGAGTTTAAATGACTTCATTTAAATCATTAATTTCATTTAAATGCCATTGTTGTTCTTTCCAAACATGCCTTCACATGTTACACAGGTTTGATGCCACAGTGACTTTAAGTGTGTAAAACTGTGTGCGATGAAAAATGATGGAAAACCCAAATGAAGCTCCAGTAACACGTCCTCTGGTGCTAATGTTCTTAATGCAGCATCCCACTGCTCCCACAGGAGACTGGTTTTCATTCAGAGGAGGAGCTGGAGGTGGTCTTTGTTCAGGGGGGCTGTCTCATGAAAAGATGGAGGTGGTCTTTGTTCAGGGGGGCTGTCTCAGGACGAGGTGGGCTTTGTTAGGGTTCTCAGGACTTGAACACAAAGAGGAGACGGGTCAGAGAGAGGAGGTGAAGGAAGTGGTTTTCTGCTCATGTCCAGCACCACCTTCTTGTTGGGGAACGCAGATCTTTTTAACTGCAGAGTTTGTTGTTCTTGTTGCTGGAGCTCATACAGATGTTTTAAATGCACCGCTGTTTGATAAATGAGAAGACCATGGCAGCCCAGACCAAGAGCCCCCCCACCCCGTCCTGTAAAGACCACAGCAGGACCCGGCTTCTGGTGGCCCTGGATCTTTTCTGCTTCTTCTTAGGTAACGAAACTTCACTTAACTGTATTAAAGTGTGTCCGGGAGCATTTACCTCCAATTTACTGCTTAATATTTAGGTTTTACTCAGATTTTCTGCATGCTTCTGGTTTTCTTGTTGTTTTCAGGAGCTGTTGATTCCTTTGATTTTTATGGCTCCAGCAAAAAGACACAGATCATTTAGAAATGTTAAATTTGACCCTAACTTAATTAAACATTATAACAAACGAACTAGTTTTTTAAACAGTAACTGTTGGAGATAAAAGGTGAAAAGCTCAGTTCCCTTAACAACCTCAGCCTAAACACTGAGGTGTCCAGAAGCCGGGCGAGGGCTTGTCAGGGTTACCAGTAAATATCTCCAGAGAACTGGTCTGTTTCTTCATTTAACTGCAGCCATTTGTTCAGAAGCTTTGTTACCAGACGACTCTAACCGTAACATTTACTTGTCATTTTGGCAGTAATCTTCATGTTTTGTCTTCATGTGTTATCAGTGTGGCTCTGAAACTTTATTTTAGCTCCAGAATTGTTCTGGCTGACGAGAAACTATTAAATGAACTCCTGCAAGAGGACCCTCGCCTCCCACACCTGAGTCAGACTCTCATCCTGTCCAGAATGGCTCACGGTCCAAGCTTATCAAGTTCAAGTCAATTTTATTGTCATTTCCATCACGTGGTACACAAGGTGGAACAAATGTACTCTGGGTCCCAGTTATACCCAAAAATAGCCAAAATGTAAAGTATAATACATGGTGAACATTAGTAGTTTTAAAATGTGGATCAGTGGCAGTTTCTGTTGTGGGTGACACGAGTGCCCGCCCCCACACTCCCCCTCAAATAAACAAAGTACATTATTTCATACAGCCTGTCGAGCCTAGATATCAGTTTCCTATCATTCACTTGTGGGGAGTGGGCGCCCTCCGCCAGGCGCAGGGCATGTACTGGTAGCTTCTGCTGATGTCTGACATACAGGTTGTGAACTGAGGGACGAGGGATTCTCTCGTCTCCCTTGCTGGGCCAGGGATGCTTCTAATCACTAAGTAAATCACATCATCGATTGCTCCCAAACAAAACACATTTCATTCATAATGTTGTGAATATAACCAACAGTTCACGGCTTATTGTGTGAAATGGCTGAAAAAATATAATACAAAAAGAATCTCCACACCAAGGAAGGTGAATTAGTTTAATAGACTTTAGGCCTCAGTTGTTTTGCCTCATGTTGGAGAAGTGCCAATTACACACTTGGGAGATGGACCAGAACAGGTCGAATCCATCAGGTGTTCAGTTTAGGAAAAAGAGGAAAGAAGAAGAGGAGAAACGAGCAACAGATAAAGTTCTGCAGCTGTGTCATCTCTTAGAGCATGAAAGTTGTAGTCTATATATAGCCTGCTGCAAAATAGGCTTAATATTATTTAACATAAGGCACTAACTTTTGTTTTCATTTAGCTGCAAATTATTTGGTTTTCAGCAGAAAATATTACCGTTCTGAAGACTGAAATTCTAAAACTAAACTACTACATTAGGCTACTTTAATGACAAAAGGCAATGATCTTGTGATGTAGCTTGGACCTTGTTAAATAACTATTAACTGGAAGAGGTGTTAACTTGTCTCCTATTCTGGATATTTCACAAACTGGACATATGTAGGCCTGTTTGTTTTTGTCTTAGCTGTGAGCTGTTTGCTTTGTATCAACCATACATCTGCCCTCCTTGGACAATAGAAGTGGAAACACTGCGGTGAAAGGCAGCGATGTGATTTCACTTCACCTGACCTGCTGAGGGTCGAGGCTGATGGAAAACTCAGCCATCTTTACACAGACAGTGAAAATGAACTCCAGGCAGAAGATAACAGTTGTTGTTCACGGAGGTAGCAGCACCTAGACACCCACTGTGCTGATCAGGAGGGAGTACGCCTCGGCCAGAGGGACATGTTCCCTTTGTTCCCTCATTACTGTCCACTTCTGTTGGTGCTCTGTGTGACAAGATGCCAAACAGCATGAACTGCATCATGAACATGTCTGGTTGAGGAAAGGGAAGTCAAATTCTGTGCAGGGACGAACAAGTGGAAAGCTCAGGGAGAGCGGCTTCTCAGGATTTCAGCGCTGCAGTTTGTCGTTTACTATAAAATGAAAATAACGTCTATAAATCCAAGTAAAATCACAACCATTTGTTCCGTGTGCTTCACACAGAGAAACTTGTCTAGAAACTAGGGTTTGAGAGGGTTTTTGGCCTGAAGAGAGTAAACAGGACGAGTGATCTCTACGGCTCCTCACGACACAACATCCAGTGATGTCAAACTCCCCCTCCTGGTTCTGGTTCCCCCTCTCCCTGACCACCAGCTACAGTAGGATGATGGAGACCATCACGATGAGTCTGTGCTGCCTGGAGCTGAGGCCTCTGTCAACATTAGGCTACAGCAGATGGAGACTGTTTCCTGTAATCTCTTCACATTCAGTTTGTGACATCAACGGGAGTTTAAAGCTCCTCTAGTAAATCTGCCGAGCAAAGACTCCACTATAGAAACAAATGTTTGTAAAGTCTTGTATTTATTTCAAAGCTAAAGGAGCTTGGGAAACAATTATTAAAAATATGCTTTATTCTTTTAAGATGGCTTTGGAGGGGAGGAGTAAAACTATTCTCAGGACCAGATGTACTAAGAGAGTGCAGTGCCAGTGTTTTTTTGCTCCATCATTTGAAACTGTTTTGTGTTCTGTCTTTGCCAGTTGCTTTCGCTACACAATTTTATTACAATGTTTTATCCGAAACACAAAGGGCACAAAGAGAAACGTGTTTTCTTCATGTTTCCTTATGACTGAAGTATGGTGGTTCCTCCATAAACTTTGGGTTCTCTTTCTAACCTCTGGATGTGAAGCATCAAGGTGAAGGCCAGGATCTTAAGGTTTCTACTTGGAACGTGTAGCATTTACTGATGGATTTGAAACAGTTTGTAATGAAAAATGTGTGAAACACACTGGAGAAGATGAATTAAATGATCGTTTTCTTGTTGGGTTCTACGCTCATGTTGTGAAGTAAAAGCAGCTGCATGTGTGATTCACTCAAAACCCCCAGCTGCAGACTGGCTGCGAGTGGAAAATGTGTTTCTGCTTGTTTGAATAGTCACACTCAGTGTTTTGACTCCAGAATATAGAAGCATTTAACTGTCTGAGGATCACATGCTGCAGCAGACAGAATAATATGAGCTGGGGGGGGAGGGGGGGGGCACGTCTTCGTCTGCCGTGTCGGGACTCTGGAGGTGATCAGCAAACTGCTTGAGCAGGACAAAGAAAAGAAAACGTTTTAAATATTGCAGTCTTCAAGTCCTAAAGTTGTTTTTTTTATGCTGAGCTAGTATCATATTGGCACGATGACGACTCCACCCTCAACCACCATCACCCCCACCTCCTGCTGTTGATGAGCAGGAGGAGGCCGGAGGGGGAAATCCCCAGAACTCTGCTGATGTTGCTGAACGGATGTGAGGGTCAATGAACTGAGCCGGGGTCAAAATCCCAGCTGAGTGCCTGAAAACCGGATCTGATCGTCATCAGTTTTCTGTCCTCTTTCCAGAGAAACATGTCCAACAGACACCAAACACCCAGATGTCCCGGGCCATCTGTGGGTCTGTGGGTCTGTGATTCTGGGTCGGTGAGTGGGTTTGAAGGCGGTTGGAAGGATCGGGACTCTCTCCTTCTCTGTTTCATCTCAGCAGTCTGAGAAGCATCCTGTGTTGTTCTAGTCCCGAGACAGTGAACCACATCGGCGTCAGAAACGTTTTGAGAATGTGGTGGGGGTCCTCCCCCAGAAAATTTTGAATAAAGTAAATTCCATTTCCTGCATTCCGGTGTATTTTAACAGGTCAGAGAGGTTTAATTGTCCTTTCACTGACAGGATTTGTCATTTTGTTAAGTTTTATCAGATTGTTAAACATCTATGTTTACCTACATAAGTAAACTCTTGATTCATACCATACCATACCATTTTGTTTATAAAGCACTTAAAACAGCGACAAGGCCAACCAAAGTGCTGTACAGACAGAACAACAGGTAACACACAAAGCAATATACAAAATTAGGTAAATCAGAATATAGACAAAAAACGATGCAGATAATGACGACTAACCAGTGTGGAGCATACAGGTTCAAAACACAGATCATCTGGTGTTGAAAGCTACTGAATAGTAGTGAGTTTTTAAACGGGACTTGAAAACCGAGAGGGAGGGGGCCTGTCTGACAAACAGAGGTAACTCGTTCCAGAGTCTTGGTCCTGCTACAGAGAAGGCCCTGTCACCTCTGCGCTTAAGACGAGTTCCTGGAACTGTGAGGAGCAACTGGTCCGCTGACCTCAGGGAATGTGGTGGGACATACGGCTGTAGCAGATCAGAGAAATGGGGGTGAGACACTGTTCAGTGATTTGTAGACATACAGGAGTATTTTGAACTGGATTCGAAAGTGAACCGGTAGCCAGTGCAGTGAGGCCAAAACCGGTGTAATGTGCTCTCTTTTGACTGTACTGATTAAAAATCAGGCTGCTGCATTCTGGACCAGTTGTAGTTGTGCAATGGAGGTCTGACTGATACCAAACATTCAGTAACTATTTTAGAAAGCACGGCACAACAAGAAGAAGTCTGACCAGCAGCTCTCCTTGTGAGCGTCTCCCCCCACTCCCGTGCGCATCAAAATCTGCTGGAATTAACTTAGCACTAAGCTAGCAGTATGCAATACAGGCGCATTAGCTAATCAATCAATCAACCTTTATTTATACAGGTAAATCCCATTGAGCCTCGAGGACTCATTTACAAGAGAGACCTGATTTCAACAAAGAAAGATGACAACAATGGACAACAGCAACAACAATAAACAGTTATAAAAAAGCATACTACAGTTTGGTTTTTTTTTTTTTTTTTTTTTTAACAAATAGGATGGCTAAAAGGAAAAGGTAACAAAACAAAAAACAACTAGATTCAAAGATGCTAAAATGCTACTGAGGAAGCACTCCGCTTCTCACACGTCCTAACCCCCCTACCTCCGTCAACAAGTGCCGGCACTAGTGTGGTGCTAAGCTAGTGTGCAAAACAGAGTTGTCTCCCCCTCCTCCCCCGTGAGTGCCTTACCAAGAGGAGAAACACTGCATGCAGGGTGGAGTTGTTGTAGGTAACCAGGAAAACCCGGAGTGGACTTTTAGAGGTTTGAATATTCTATTAATCAAGTGGAATGGATTCATTCACGAAGATAGAAACAGTGCTGAGTGAACTAATATTTCATGGAAAATGTGGAGAGGTCCAAATGAATATTTTTTAAATGCGTGTGTGTAGGGGGCACATCCCCTTCACAGTTGCGACGCCTATGGTGAACCGACCCAACAGCATCAGAACATCAGGACTCTTTATAGTGAAGACGGTCTCTGCAGGATCAGGACTTCAGTCCCAGAGTTCACGTTAGTCTCACGTTAGTTTGAGTTTGTTGGAAGAAAAAGTCAAAGAAACAAAGTTAATAATGTGAGTGTAGCTGAACGGACCGACAGATTGTCTGGTCTTTTCTTTTGGACCCGTTCTGTTAAAGATTAGCAGCAATGTTTGGTTCTGATATTGAAATGAAATTTCTTGGGCATCTTGACCTTTGACCCTTCTCAGACTGACTCTGAGGTCATTGCTAATATCTCTCCACCTTGGCTTTGTGCAAATGCACACCTGACCGCTCCGGAGCAGCAAACCGACAACTGCAGTTTCTACTGAGCTGATCCCACATGGGATCAGAGTCTGACTGACACTGAACCTCCTAGAAGTAGTAGAAACAGCAGGAGAGGACTTTGTTTCCTCATCACATCTTCATTTTGTTTAATAAAGCCATGATGAGAACTGATCTGAACAGCTTCAGAACCTGAGGTTGGATCTCAGTTGGTTCAGAACCTGGTAAAAACTGGGCCATCCTGTTGTCCTCTGTATTATCATAAAACCCTTGGGATTCAAAAAGGTTCAATACAAAAGAAAGGCTTTCTTTTTCTCGTACCTAAAAATGTTTGTGTCTTTGTGTTGCTGTGTTCCTAAAGCATTGCCTCTCCTGCCCTCATGTATCTGTCCCACAATGCAGTGCTTCTTGTTGGCGTGTTGTTGCACAAATCTCCCTTCCCGCCGTACCAGAGAGGGTTCTTCTGTGATGACAGCAGCCTCCAACTGCCCTACAAGAACAGCACAGTGTCCACGGCTGCACTCATCGCCGTGGGCTTCTCTGTGCCTGTAGCGTCTGTAAGTCCTGGTGAGGTGCAGCAGGAGGACAGGAGGAGCACACTTCTGAGCACGCTCAGTTCATCACCGGCTTCTTTTCAGTCCACACACCTGGAGATTCATGGAGGCTCAACGACCCTTTGACTTAAATCACAGCAACAACTGTTCTCCGTGGAGGCCCGAGTTTGATCCATTCAGGCCCGGGTCTGGAGAAAAATTAACCAATCAGGACTCATTTGTTCACTGGTCTCAGAAAACAGCCACAGAATGAACTGAGCTAGTCCCAGATGTTCTCCTGTCTCCTTCTGCTTGTACCCAGAACCTCAGTCATTATTGTCTCATTAACCCACCACCTCATCTCTCCTCCTCACCCCCTCCACCCCCTTTCTGTGCTGTTCACTGCTGCTTCACACCAGCCGGCCTGCCTTTCCTGGTCATTGAGACGTGTGCGGTTCAGCCGTACCGTCGAGGGTTTTACTGCGATGATGAATCCATCAAGTACCCGGCCAAAAGCAAAGACACCATTAGTGATGGTGTGCTCAGTGCTGCAGGCATTCTGATCACCATCCTGTCTGTAAGTGGCATCACTTGTATCACCTGTATCACCTGACATCACCTGCATCACCTATATCACCATGTTTTAGAGCCTCACAGTTGCTGACTGCACCTTGGATCACAGCTGAACACAACTTTTCTTTTTATTCTGTTTTCTCCCGTCTGGCTCATGAAACTCTTTGGTAATGTGTTGAAATAATTTAAGCATGCAAGGATTGAGCATGCATCAGGATAAATAATTTGAGTTTTATCCAATTAATTCAGTCTATTCTGTTTGACAGTCATCCTTTGAACAACTCTGTCAGCAGTTTAGTTGACTTTACTGATAAAAGAGCAACCTTGAAGTGGTGGTCTGTGAATTGTTAAGAGTAATAATTATTGTACCTGGTGTAGAATTCTCTGTTGGTTTAAAATCTGTCCACATAGACGAGCTAAAGACTGGTCTTTAAGTTGCTCTGTTGCTAATGTAGACTGCTGCAACTCAAATCTCAGACATTTTATAGTAATTTATGTGACAGCTGTGTTTAAACTTTTACAATGCTTTCTGAAGACTTTTGATGGACAAACAACAACAAGGAGCTCAGTGTCCCTTTCCCGGATGTAGGGGGACAGGCTCTGACTGTTGCTTGTGTCTAAATGCCACATGGCAGTTCAGAGGCTCTGGGCTTCTTGGAGTCCTTGGCAGGGATGCTGGAAGGTGCGCTGACTGGGTACTCCTTTAGTCTGCTGGGGAACTTCAGTGCCCACATGGGTAATGACTGTGACCTGCAGGGGCATGATTGGGAGGAACAGCCTCTCTGACCTGAACTCGAGCGGGGTTCTGTTGTTGGACTTCTGTGCTAGTCATATTTTGCCCATCACGAACACCATGTTCGAACATAAGGGCGTCCATAAATGCACTTGGCACAAGGACCCCTACGTAGGTCATAGATCAATGAGTGACTTTGTAGTCATGTCATCTGATTTGTGACCATTTGTTTTGGACACTTGGGCAAAGAGAGGAACTGAACTGTCAACGGATCACCACCTGGTAGTGAGTTGGATCAAATAGCAATGGGAAGATGCTGGACAGACTTGGTAGACCCAAACGTGTAGTGAAGGTTTGTTGGGAATGCCTGGCAGAAGAACCCGTCAGAAAGATCTTCAACTCATGCCTCCGGTAGAGCTTTAACCATATCCCAGCTGAGGCAGGGGACATTGAGTCTGAATGGGCAATGTCCCATGCCTCATTTATTGAGGTTGCTGCCTTGAGCTATGGCTGCAAGGTTGTAGGTGCTTCTTGCTGTGGCCATCCTCAAATTTGGTGGTGTACACATTGGGTTAGTGAGGCTGTCAAGCTGAAGAAGGAGCCCTACCTGGCCTTGTTGGCTCGTGGGACTCTGGAGGAAGCTGAGGTATTATCGTAGGGCCAGGCAGTCCACAGCTTTGACTGTTACTGAGGCAAAAGTTCAGATATGAGAGGAGTTCGGTGAGGCCTTGAATAGAGACTCTTGGTCAGCTCCGAGGACATTCTGTCAAACCATCAGTTGACTGAGGGGAAAGCAGCACTTTAATATCTCCATGTTCAGTGAAGGTAGGTTGCTGTTGACCTCAACCAGTGATGTCGTCAAGAGGTGGAAGAAATACTTCTCGGACCTTCTCAATCCCACTGGCACATCTTCCATGGAGGAAGCTGATCCGAGGGACTTTGAGGTTGGTCTGTCCATAACCGTTGCTGAGGTCACTCTGGTAGTTAAAAAGCTCTGTGGTGGCAAGGCTCCGGGGAAGGATGAGATTCACCCTGATTTTCTTAATGATATGAATGTTGTGGGGCTGTCTTGATTGACACACCTTTGCAACATTGCATTGACATTGGGTGCAGTTTCCCTGGATTGGCAGGTGGTTCCCCTTTTCTAAAAGGGGGACAGGAGGGTGTGCTCCAATTATAAGGACATCACTCTCCTTAGCCTCCATGGTAAGGTCTATTCAGGGGTACTGGAGAAGCGAGTTAGTTGCTGGTCAAACCTCAGATCCAGGAGGAACAATGCGGGTTCCATCCTGTCTGTGGAACACTGGATCAGCTCTTTACCCTAGCTAGGGTCCTTGAGGGGTCATGGGACTTTACCCATCTACATGTGTTTTGTGGACTTGGAGAAGGCTTTTGACCATGTTCCTCGAGGTACACTGTGGGGAGAGGGGGCTTTGGCTCTGTGAGTATGGGATTGGGGGCTCGTTTCTATGGGCTAATCTGTCCCTATACAACTGGCTTAAGAGTTTGGTTCTCATCGCCAGTAGTAAGTCAGACCCCTTCAGGGTGGAAGTTGGACTCCGCCAGGGCTGCTCATGTCACTGATTTTGTTCATAACTTTTATGGACATAATTTCTCGGTGCTGCCAGGGAGCGGAGGAGGTCCAGTTCGGTGGCCTCAGGATTCCGTCTTTGCTATTTGCAGATGATGTGGTCCTGTTGGCGTCATCGTGCCATGATCTTAAGCTCTCACTGGAGAAGTTCACAGCTGAGTGTGAAGCAGCTGGGATGAGAATCAGCACCTCCAAATCTGAGGCTATCGCCCTCAGTTGGAAAAGGGTGGATTGCTGTCTTTGGGTCGAGGATGAGTTTCTGTCTCAAGTGGAGGAGTTTGAGAATCTCAGGGTTTTGTTCATGAGTGAGGGAAGAATGGAGCGTGAGATTGACAGATGGATTGGTGTAGGGTTTTTCAGTATTGCAGACTATGCTGGTCTGTTGTGGTGAAGAGGGAGTGGAGCTGTAAGGCAAAGCTTTCTGTTTACTCGTCGGTCTACATTCCTACCCTCACCTATGGTCACGAGCTGTGGGTAGTGACCAAAAGAATGAGATTGTGGATACAGGCAGTTGAAATAAAGTTTCCTCCACAGGGTAGCTGGACCCTCCGTTAGAGATAGGATGAAAAATTCAGTTATCCAGGAGAAACTTAGGAGTAGAACCACTGCTCTTCTACATCAAAAGGAGCCTGTTGAGATGGTTCAGGCATCTGGTAAGGATACTTCCTGGGCGCCTCCCTTGGGAGGTGCTTCGGACTTGTCCGACTGGGAGGAGACCTCGGGAAAGACCCAGGACACGTTGGAGACACTGCATCTTTTGGTTGGCCTGGAAACACCTTGGAGTCCTCCCAGAAGAGCTGGAAGATATGGCTGTGGAAAGATATGTCTGAGCCGCCCTGCTCAAGCTGCTGCCCCCACAATCCAACTTCAGAATAAGCAGAAGATGATGGATGGATGGATGGATGGATGGATGGATGGACAGACGGACGGACGGACGGTCGGTCGGTCGGTCATGTTTGCAAAGAGTAGCAGCAGCTGGATGTAGCACTCCTAGTGCAGCCTGAGTTCAGTTTTCTCACTGGGACCATTGCTGCAGTTCACGGTGTTAAGTTCTGTTGGGTCTTCTCTAGAGCAACTACACATGACTGAAGCCACAGAGGTTTCATGGTCAGGTCCAGCTGTGTAACTGTGGTTGTTGGTTAGGTCATGTAATTAGAGGGATGAAACTGTGGTACTGGCCCCAAACATGGAGAGCTGGCCAGATATCTCATTTCTTTGCAGCATAACAGCACCGTCACCCCTTGACAGCATTTGTGTTTTACAAACAGAAAAACATGAAACACTTCTTCATTCAGAGCTTCACTGCTGCCTGGACCGAGACCATGTCCATGGTGATTCAAGCTGATAATTATCTGGGCAACAAAGAAGCACTTTAAACTTGAACAACCAATCAGCCTCCAGTACACAGAACTCATTGATCTCTGTGTGCTGGAACATACATTTGTACTGTAGTAAACCTAGTTGTTATACTATAACAGCCGTGTTTCCTATAGTACAAATGTAGTACACAGAGATCATGGTATATCGGCCATGTTTCCTACAATATAAAAGTATTTATTCATCCACACAGCAAAATCTCCCCCTTCTTCCCTCTGTCCCTTGAAAACAGCTGGAGCTGGCTCTAAAGGCCTGCATGGTGGAAACAACAGCTTTTATTCCCTTCTCAGGAGCCGACTCGTCACCTGGGGTGGGTCCCAGAACCAGACTCTCCCCTGTGGCCCCCTTAAAGAATGTCCAGTGAAGTTCAGACCCTGACATGAAAACAGCCAGACGTCCCAGGTGAAATTGAAGCTGCCTTTCAGAGTCAGAGAAAAACAAACGTGTTCCTGGAGGAGTCCTAGCTCAGCGTTTCTCCTGATTAGAACCAGCAGTGCTTCCCCCACCCTTCCCCCAGCCCACTCTGCTTCTCAGTCCTACTCTCACATTCCTCCTTCTCTTTTATATTTCATTGGGCTTCTGATTCTCCTTCATTAACTGAATTGAAACTGAATCATTTCCTGTCCCCTGTTCTCTTTTGGGAGCCCCCCCCCCCCCCCCCAATCACAGCTGAAGCTATGAGCTGCTGGAGGACAACAGAAGAGGATTATGTGTGTTGGGGGCTTGAGCTTGAATGGTTATTTTGAATCTTGGTGTTTTACATAGTCAAGTTCAAGGTTCTTTATTGTCATTTGCATCACATGTGATACATGAGATGGAACAAAATTGTGTACTCAAGGTCCTAGTTACACCTTAAAATAGCACAAATATAAAGTATACATTAAAAAGAAACAGTATACAAGGATCTAAGATATACACTACAGGCTCCAGTATAGTCGGGCATACGTCATTCCACGGAGGTCCGCGCGTACCGGATTAAACTTGAAGCGGACGCCCACAGAGCATGTTTTCATTCGACTTTTATTTAGACAGGTAAATCCCATTGAGCCTCGAGGACTCATTTACATTTATGTCCGTGCAAAGCTCAATTTTTACGACCGCATACGCATACTCTGTGTCAAAAAATAAACTGCCCGGTGACGGACTGTTTTGTATGCGACACTAGTATATTAAATTCCCCTTCTTCATCCCTGATCTGGTTTAATGGCCTTTTCTTTTCTTTTGTTTTTTGCCAATAGGCAAGCGAGCTCTTCCTCCTCATCTGTTGACACCATGACTGAAATTGTGAGAAATGAAGGAATTTGTCACAAGCGAATTAAAATCAGGTCCAGCGTGGCTGCGAGAGGGTCTGGAGGTTTCCTGGTGGGCTGGTCTGGTGTGTGGATTGCAGAGCCAGCGCTCCCTGTTTTTTTTTAATTAGAGCTTTTCATTTACAACAAAGACAGAACACTGCTGTGGCTGGGGCTGCCAGCTGTTGTTTTTTTTTTAACGACCAATAGGCATGTCAGAAAATGACCATTCAGCGACCTCAATTTGTCCCAAAGGTAAACGCCCCTTGCCTGCAGAGCTGGTCTGCAGCCGCTCAGGGTGGATGCTCAAGTATGAAGTCTCAACCCTCTGCGAACAGTGCACGTCTAGTCCATGCAGAAAAAGGTCTGCGTGAGTATACTGGAGCCTTAAGACATACGCTAAACACTAATACAGTAGTCTTATAGTAGTCAAGTAGCTCTCGGCCACGCCCCCTTCTCCACTGCAGAACGGAGATCGACAGAGGAGGGAGGAGGAGCTGCCTGTAGTGTGGGCTGCAGTTCACATAGGTGCAGCAGGTGTTAAATAATTTAAAATATTTCATTTTAAATAAAAATTCCATGTCGATCGTGCAGCTCATCCATCAATCAGCCAATTGTGTGTCTTGTTCAATCTCATTTTAAAAAAACACTATATAGTGAGTCTGCGAAAAACTAACTGTGAAGTAGCAAGGAACTACTGTTATGTACAATAATATGGTATATGAAACAGCAGCCTGAACATGAGTCTGTAGTGAGTAGAGGGGTATGAATACAGCAGCATGAGATCAGCAGCATGGATAATCAGCAGCATAGATAAGTCACATATCACCAATTAAAGTGGCATTACAGTGATTTTTATTTTTTCTTACAGTGATTATTCTGGTTAGAGATTCAGGAGTCTAACAGCCTCAGGGTAGAAGCTGTTTCTCAGTCTAGGGGTTCTACACTTAATGCTCCTCAACCTCCTGCCTGAGGGGAGTGGGGCAAAAAGTGTGTGTGCTGGGTGAGTGGGGTCCTTCATGATGCAGGTGGCCCTCTTCCTGCATCTAGAGGTGTAAATGTCTGTGATGGTGGGGAGACTGACTCCCAACAGACTTCTGTGCAACCTTCACCATTCTCTGCAAAGCTTTTCTTTCTGCAGCTGTGCAGCCTCCATGCCACACGTTGATGCTGGAGCACAGGATGCTCTCCACTGCACACCTGTAGAAGGAGGTGAGGACTGAGCTTCCTAGTTTAGCTCGCCTCAACCGCCTAATGGAAGTAGTCACTGATGTGCTTTCTTGATCAGGCTGATAGTGTTGTTGCCCCAGCTGAGGTTTTCGTTCAGGTGCACACCCAAGTACTTGTAACTGGAGACCACTTTCATTGCGGTTCTGCGGTCTATGGTTCTGTCGGACGAGTCGTTGGTTTTTAAATGTTGATGTGTATCAGCATGATTCAGCCTTGATGACATCATCACAATTGATACTGCAGAACGTCGTCAAAATCCTAAAATGTCCTCAGATTGTCTTTTCTCAGCTGTTCCTACCCTCTTCAGGGGTCTACAGAGTCATACTTCTCCATTTCAATCTGTCCGCACTCAGTCCTCTGCATCTCTCCACTCTTTCTTGAAAGAACTCATAACCCACCTGTTTAAAATTGCTTTTAATGTTTAAATTTGCCCTTTTTAATTTTTTCTGTGTTTTTATGTGTATGCATAGTAGATTTTATATATTTTTAACTCATGTAAAATGTCTTTGAGTATTTAGAAAAGCGCTATACAAATAAAATGTATTATTATTATTATTATTATTATTATTATTATTATTATTATTATCATCCTCTGTCCTCACTCCAACTACCTCCATGTCCTCTCTAACTGCATCCATATATCTCCTTTTTGTCTTTTTCCTGGCAGCTGCATTTCTAACATCCTTCTACTGTCCCTCCTCTGGACATGTCCAAACCATCTCAGTCTGGTCTCTCTAACTTTATCTCCCAGTTGTTCAACCTGTGCTGTACCTCTGATGATCTCATTCCTGATCTTATCCATCCTTGTCACTCCTAAGAAGAACCTTAGCATCTTAATTTCTGTTACTTCCAGTTCTGTCTCCTGTCTTTTTGTCCATGTCTCTGTCTCCAGACCAGACAACATAGCTGGTCTCACCACTGTCTTGTAAACTTTTCCTTTGACCTTTGCTGACACACTTTTGTCACAAATCACTCCTGAAACTTTTCTCCATCCACTCCATCCTGCCTGGACTCTCTTTTCCACCTCGTTGCCACACTCCCTGTTTTACCTTCGTACTCAGAACAAAACCGTAATTTGCCACTAGTGTACTGACACATTTACAGATTTAAAGGAAAAACCTGTAGAGCTGCAGAATTAACATGCAGAATATGAACTAACAAACTATTATGTGTCTTCTAACCTGGCTCAGGGAGGTTTTTTGATATCAAATGAAAGGACTTGAAACGTCCTAAAGGAAGCATGAACAAACGGCACCATCATGAAACAAGCGTTCAGTTGTAGGTGGATCACGGATCACTTTACGTTTTATCTTGTCTCACTGCTTCCCTCTTCCTCTCTGCCCACTCAGATCATAATCGGAGAGACCTACAGGATCTATTTTCTGAATGAGGGGTCCAGCTCCTTCGTAGGGAACCCCTACATCGCTGCGCTCTACAAGCAGGTCGGTGTGTTCGTTTTTGGCTGTGCCATCAGTCAGTCCTTCACGGACATTGCTAAGGTGTCAGTGGGACGAATGCGTCCTCACTTCCTGGACGTGTGCAAGCCTGACTTCTCCACTATCAACTGCTCCCTGGGTTACATCACTGAGTACCAGTGCCAGGGATCAGAGAGCAAAGTCCAAGAGGCCAGGTATGGCAACAAATGTGACAGTTGAAAAGATTTGGGACTCGGAGTTTAAAGCAATTCTTTTCAGTACTTGTGTTGCATTAAAAAGCTGTTTGTTTGTTCTCAGGAAATCGTTCTTCTCTGGACATGCATCGTTCTCCATGTACACCATGCTGTACCTCGTGGTGAGACGCTGAACTGTTATAATCCTATCTTTTTATTTCATTCTGTGTTTTAAAAGATGGGAAACCCAAAACTCTGCCTCTGTTCCAGTTCTACCTGCAGTCTCGCTTCACCTGGCATGGAGCCCGCCTGCTGCGCCCGTTGACCCAGTTCACCCTCATCATGATGTCCTTCTACACTGGCCTGTCCCGAGTGTCTGACCACAAGCACCACCCCACGGACGTCCTGGCCGGGTTCATCCAGGGGGCCCTGGTGGCCTACTGCATCGTGAGTGACCACAGATCACAAACCAAGAAGATTTCCTCAGAAATATGCAAAACAATAAATATACATTCATCTTATAAATAGTTCTGATCAACAGCTTGGGGATTCTGCGTTTTACAGTTTTAGATAGCTCCTGGAAGAACTTCAGTTTGGAAAAGAAAAAAGGTTGTCACTAAAATGGTTTAAATCATATTTATCTGATAGATTCCAATTTGTAAATGTAAATAATGAATCTTCATCATACACCAAAGTTAGTCATGGAGTTCATCAGGGTTCAGTGCTTGGACCAATGCTCTTTACTTCTGATATGCTTCCATTAGGTAATGTTATTTAACAGCATGGGATAAATTGTTATGCTGATGATACATAGTTCTGATACACATAATTTGTCCATGAAACCCAATGAATCCAATCTTTTACTTAAGCTACAAGCATGTCTTAAAGACATCAAAACCTGGATGACCCTTAATTTTCTGCTTTTAAATTCAGACAAGACTGAGGTTATGGTTTTGGAACCTGAGAATCTTAGGAATAAATTTTTCAGTCTTTCTCCCTCCTTAGATGTCATTAATCTGGCCTCCAGCTCTAATGTTAAAAATCTTGGTGTTATTTTTGATCAGGACATGTCTTTTATCCCCCACATTAAAAACGTTACTAGAACCTCCTTCTTCCACCTGCGTAATATCACTAAAATTAGAAACATCTTATCTAAAAATGATTAAGAAAACTGGTTCATGCATTTGTCACGTTTAGACTGGACTATTGCAATGGTTTATTATCTGGGTGTCCAAATACTTCTTTGAAACATCTTCAGTTAATCCAAAATGCTGCTGCCAGAGTCTTAACTGGAGTTAGTAGGAGAGATCATATCTCTCCAGTTATAGCTTCTCTCATTGGCTCCCTGTCAAATCCAGAATTTAATTCAAAATCTTACTTCTAACCTACAAAGCTCTCAACAACCTAGCTCCATCTTATATTACAGATCTTATTGTTCCATATTTTCCTAACAGAACACTTCACTCTCAGACTGCAGGTTTACTTGTGGTTCCTACAGTTTCTAAAAGCAGAATGGGAGGCAGATCTTTCAGTTATCAGGCTCCTCTCTTGTGGAACCAACTTCCAGTTTCTGTCCATGAGGCTGACACATTGTCCAGTTTTAAGACTAGGCTTAAGACTTTCCTTTTTGATAAATCCTATAGTTAGGGTTGGCTTGTTATGCTTCTATAGACTGGTGGACAAATTAACCTCATTTCCTTAAATGAATTGTTAAAATTGAATAGTTTTCATTTGATACTATTTCTATCTTAACATGTGATTCTTGACCTGCCATTGTGTATCTGTTCCTACCAAACCCAGCCGGTCAAAGCAGATGACAGCTAGCACAGCTAACAACTAACACAGCTAACACATAACGAAGCGGCTTCCTTTCTTTAACTTGGAGCCAGACTGTCTTGTAAACATGTCCAGGAGGTCCAGGAGTTTCTTTTCATATCTTTAGTTCAGCTTGAACAGAAGTCACAGTGGAGGTTCAGCTGCCTGACAGGCAGTTAACCAGAGACAAGCTGACAGGTTCATGTCTGCTGCATTTCTCTCCAGGCCGGTGGATGAAGCGGTATGCGCTGACTGAGTGAGCGCAGCTTGTACAGTTTTAGTTTTTAGGGTTTATTTAACAGGAAAACTCCTCCTCCATGCAACCCCAGCTGATATGTGAGGAACAGGCTGGAACTCTGCTAGTGTTCTGGAGGTCATGTTTTTCTACTAATTTTAGTTCATGTTTACTCAGTAACTGAGTTTAAACGTAATTAAGTAAATGATATTAAACTCGAATAAAGGTCCAGTATTGACTTTAAAAAATAGAAATTAAACTAAATGTACAGTACTCATTTACAGTGGTGTGAGCAAATGTAATGAGTGACTCCACCTCTGCAGAAAAAGTATTTAAATATGTTTTCTTCTCTCTCAGGTGTTCTTTGTGTCAGACTTGTTCAAAGCCAAAGGCAGACGCAGTCATCTGTGTCCATCAGCGGTGAGGAAAGATCTCCTTCCTGTAGCAGACATCAGAGAGCGGGGCAGTCATGTCATCATGGCCTGAAGATGTCCTGCGCTGAGATCTGGACCTGGTCCTGTCTACAGACACAAGTCCTTACTGGAGGAAATAACCCTGAAACCTGCAGAAGAACCCAGAATACTACAGAGAACATGCTTCCTGAAAGGACTCTTTGTCCTCTGTCTTATCAGATGTGGGACCTAAGACAGGATGTCTGAGAACATTTGGACCTTCTCTCTTGTTGGGAAGATTTCTGCACATCCTCTGTTGTTCAGGCTTGTTCCTGGTCAAATCCTTCAAACGAAGGCTGTGTTCAGCTTTTAGTCGTGATCTTTCCTCCTGCCGCCCACTCTGACTCACGTTAGCAAACAAATTCCTTTATTTCAGGAAGGATGTGGTTTTATTTCATCCGTGTGTGGTTTATAGCACTATTGTAGCTTCTTGTATTCTTGTTACCACTTGACGACGTGTCGGAGCCTTTGGAAAGCTTCTAGTTTGACATGGTGCACGTTCTCCGGCTTACGTGGAGACCACAGCATGTTTCGTGGGCCTGGTTCTGCTGGCTGGGACCGGACCTCGCTGAGCCGTTTTATTAAAGTGACTGTCGTTTATACGTAGCAGACGGCGGGTGTGCTTGTGTTTAAACGTGCCGTTGTGTCTAAATGTTTACGGCCTACAAGTGAGCCACAAACAGACCCCGCTCCGTCAAAAACGTGAATGAGATGGAGAAGAGGTGGAAAACACCAACACGTGGACTCCTTTGACTATCGGACCTCACTCTGGGTTCCCAGTGAAACTTGCAGGAGCTTCTTCTTTACATGTTTTAGAGGGCTCTGAACAGACGACGTGACTCTAACACGTTTCATGATTTATATTTTAAAAATATTCTGAAGGAAACCACTGCCTGAATATATGACCATGTTAATTAAACAACCTGCACACGGTGTCAGGTGTGTGTGTGTGTGTGTGTATGTAAACATGTTGTTAACGTGCTGAACAACAGAGCTGTCGGAACAAACAGCTCATTTTTATCAAATCTTGCTCATATTTTTGTATTGTGTCGTTTTGTGTAATAAAACTGTTGCAGGCTGAAGGTGTGGTGTTTTGGCTGTATGACTCTCTCTTTGCTTCTGGATGAGCGTTACAGTCATCAGTCATTCTTCTGTTCATCCTGCACCTTTAAAAAAACACCAACATGTGTGTTTTGTTCTGAAGCAGCTTGTGCTGCTGCTCGATCACTGCATTTTGTTTAGTGACATCGTTAACATTTAGCAAAACCAACTAAAAGAAGAAAAACTTCTACGCACACAGCAAAAGGTGAAAGGAGTAAGAAAAGCCTGGTCTGTTTGGAACACGGCAGCTCAGAACCAACTCGTTTTAAAGATGATTCAAGCTTCTTTGTTGTCATTCGCATCACATAAGGTGGAATGAAATTGTGTACTCAAGGTCCTAGTTAAACCCAAAGTATATAAAAAGAAACAGTATACAACGATCTAAGATATAACCCAACCTAAGAAGATTCACAGATCAAGGATCTGCCTTGGTTTAATGATACGTCCATGTCTGGTTCTGACTTGTGGCTCAGAAGGATTCTGCTCACACACTTGGGTGGTGTGGGTTGGTTGCACTGCTGAGGTCTCCTCTTCAGGTTTCCTATCAGTCTCATTGACTTCTGTTTGCTGCTGATCCAGTGTTGGTATACTGTATTGTCCTGTGCCATAAGGTGTCGCCTGTTTCTTCTGAAGTTCTGTCCATCGCTGGTCTCGATGTGATAGCTCCGTGGTGTTTCGGCTGATCTTGTGACAGTAGCCGGTTGCCATCGTCCATCTTCCCACTGGAAATGTACAGGTGCTCCAAGTGGCAGCATAGGTAGCAGTCTTGCAGTTTTGTCATACTGCTTTCTCTGGCGGCGTTGACAAACCTCTCTTCTGTGATGCACAGTCTTCTGATGAGCTATTTGAGGTTGTAACTGTTTTGTTGTTGTGGGCAGAATGGATTTCAGCCTGCGGCTCATGAGGAGTTGGGCTGGTGATTTCAGTCCATCAACAGGTGTATTCCTGTATTCTAAGAATGCAAGATAAAGATCTTTTCCATCCTCTCTTGCTTTTGTCAGGATACATTTCGCTTTTTACATTTTGGACTGTTTTTTGGCTTTGGTGATAACATGGGCTTGAAGTAATGTGCTGAAAACCCCATCCTTTTGCAAACTGACTAAACTCCTTGGAGTTGTAACATGGCCCATTGTCGCTGATGACCTTTTCAGGAATCCCATGCCTGGCAAACACACCTTTCATCTTGTGTATCACAGCAGATGTAGTTGTGCTGTGCAGGCGTTCGATTTCAAAATACCTGCTCAGGTAGTCACATGTGATAATGTAGCTTTCAGAGTTCCAGGTGAATAAATCTGTTGCCACAGTTTGCCATGGGTTATCAGGTATTTCTTGGGAGAGCATGGGCTCTTTTTGATTGGAGTTGCGATGCGTTTGGCATATCTCACATCTCTTTACAGTCTCTTCTATCTGTCGACACATACCTGACCAGAACATTATGTCTCTTGCCCTGTGTTTGCTTTTTTCCATGTGTCTCGTCCCATCTGAACTCTTTATCGTGCCGTAGAAGTTGTCTAAGTGGCGAACTTACCTCAGCGAGTTTTGGTGCAAACTTTGCCAGGTAATTCACCATGCCGAGGATTGTCTCCAGCTCTGCTTCATTTTCCGGTGGTGGCATGTTGTGGATCGCGTTCACTTTCATGGGATCTGGCTCAAGTTCATTTGCTGTGTCCAAAATAATTGATTTTGCCGACACCTATGCAACATTTGTCTGGGTTGAGCTTTAGACCCTTTTCTCTTGTTCGGCTGAGCATGGCTCTGAGGTTTCGGTCGTGCTCTTCTTTTGTTTTCCTAAACACAATGATGTCATCTACGATGCCAGCCAATCCTTCCAGCCCCTCATACGTTTCATCAATCCTCCTTTGAAATTCATCTTGGGCAGACACAATGCCAAACGGCAGCCTGAGGAAAGAATATCTGCCAAAGATGGTGTTAAAGGTAGTAAGCAGTGATGACTCTTCACTAAATTTGATGGCCCAGTAACCAGATCTAGCATTTGGTATGCTAAAATATTTTGCTCCATCCAACTTGTAGGTTATGTCATCTAGCGTTGGGAGGGAATAATGTGGCCTCATTATAGCTTTGTTCAGGGCTCTTGGGTCCAAACATATACAAAGTTTGTTTGTTTTTGGTTTCTCACAGATTACGAGTGCATTCACCCACTGTATTGGCTCTGTTAATTTATATATGATGCCATGTTGTTCCATCCAAAAAATTTCAATCTGGTCCTCTGGACATTCAAAAAATCAAAAAACAAAGCAAAAAAAAAAAATGTAGAAACATTTCGTCTTTCATCCAAGAGACTTCCTCAGTCTGAGGTGCTGTATTCAGCTCAGTCTCTTAAATAGCACCTTCTCAGAGTGGATCAACCAGTTTTGCTGCTAACAACCAAAACCAGCTGCTCACATGCTCAAGAAGGACCATCAGCCTAACAGTGGATCATTAGCACACTGATGGCTGTTTACTGTTCACAGAGCTGAGTGATACTAGCAATCACAGCATTGTAAGAGGGGGACAGTTGAACCTGGAGGCCTCCACCCCTGTTTAACGATGGACGATTTCTTTTCACAAAGATGGCCTCCTTTACTCCTCTCTCAAACCATCGTTCCTCTCTATCCATGATGTGAACATCTTCATCCCTGAAAGAGTGACCCGTGGCCTGGAGATGAGTGTAGACCGCAGAGTCCTGGCCTGATGATGTT